CGCATAGTCTGGATAAAGTCTTTTTGATTTTACAATCAAAAAGATTTAAGTGAGAATAAAACCGAATTTAAACGAAGACTGCAGTGTGCTTTGCCCACTGTTTATCATGACATATAACATTAATCTGGAACTTTGATAGAACGTTGTACATTTAGATGTAAAATAAGAGGAGTAAAAATGATGATCCAATGGGCAATTATTCTTATTTCCTTTGAAGCAGTTATACATCAATGGAACTACAAAGAATATTTTAAGGAATGCTTATTCTGAAATTAGATAGCAGCACTGATCTTTATTTTGCGAAAATTTTGCCTGCCCGACTACTTGGAGTAACTCTTCTTGTTTAGAGTGCAGTTTTTGTAAACCAGTTGTTTTGAGAGCTACGAAAGTTCCTCTGTCTGAGATGTAAGGCTAGAATGCTGAAATGATACTGTTAAATCTTTTTCAGCTGCAGGACTGTAGTGCTCTAGTTACAGAACGTATAGCGCTTTTGGGGTGACGTGGCATTCGCATGCTATGACTGTGATTTTGTCGAGCCTTCTGAGCCATATGGATTACTTATACTTCTAGAGCCTCAGTTATATTTCTAAACCCTTGATATCTCTGAAATCAAAAAGTATTTTAACTGTGATAGTCTTTTGTGATGAAGGAGAGTGATAACTGGAATGAGATTAACCTTTCCTTAACCAAGAAAGAGTTTGTCCAGGGGATAAGCATCTCGTATCTATCACTGCGCTATTGCTATCTGAATTTAATTATGAAATACTGACTGGTATGATAAAGGCTGTATTATCCAAGAACCATCTTGTTCCCCAACAGATATATTAAAAGCCATTTTAGTTGCTAGGCAGATCAAGAGGAAGGTACCCCAAAGGGGTGTATTTGTTTGCAACCCCCCCTAGTCTAAGCCAAAATGGTTATAGCTCTACAAATTACTTGTAGACTTCCTTACGATGTTACTTTTGTCTGTAGCATACCTTTTAAATATTGGTAAAGTTCTTACACCCCTGACGCACTACTGTGGGTAGATAAAACTTACAGTTCTATCTGCTGGATATCTTTCTCCTGAAAAGACTGTAATTAATCCCTTTTTATTTGTTCACTATTTTGGAAAAGAAGTATGGAGAAATGCAGGCATTTCGGTAAGCATCTGCTTCCTTCAGGAAATCCTAATTAAAAATAATTTATTTTCTATTATTATTTACTGAGCACTCCTTGAAGTAACTCTAGCTTCACAGATGTACCGCTGTTTCAAAGGAAATATTACTTCATTTATTTTCAGTTGTAGTTACCAATGGGATAGGAATACTGCTTAGTAAGAAAACTCATTAGGGAGAGCGTATAGTACTTGATAAATTGGAATTGGTGTCAGGATGAGTTTTGTTGATAACTTTGTCTGGAAATTCTTGTTAATACCATGTAAAGTGGGGGAAATTGTAACGGAGCATTCGTCGCCTCTTGATAAAGAGAAGCTAGAAAAATTGAGGATCCCAAATGGGAAAATAAATACAAAATTAAAAGATTCCTTTCTACTCCTTGCCTGCTCTTAGTTTGTCTGTCTCAATTTAAACTGCTTCCTGTCCTAAAGGACTTAAGTTTTTGCTGGGAAAAAGTCTGATATACCATGTGCTGTTGTCAGTAAGTTAATTCTTTAAGCGTTCACGCCCTTGATGAAAGCTAAGCAAAAACGCTGCCCTAAGGAAGAAACTTCAGCAGCAGATGCTGGGGAGCGACGGAACATAAATTTGATTTGATACTTTACTGTTGAAAATATGTCTTGAGGTTATGTAGTGCAGCCCTTTTCCCTGAGGAAAAGCTTCTATATTTTGTACATTCTCATGTGAGTTATGTAGTGCTGAGTTTACCCAGTATCCATAATTAGAAGATATGCACAGAGCTGTGAAATGAAATACTAAAGGTAGCGATATAAGAAAAGAATTTGTGTAGCTTGGACCAACTCTGGTGAATGGAGGTTACTACTGTGAAAATATTTGAAAGTTATTAAGAAGCAGCGAAGGGAAGAGGCTTATGATACAAGGGCAGTCTTTTCTACTGCAGCTTCTATGTGAGATGGCATGAAACATTTTCTGTGTTAACTTACTGCTGCAATGATAATTTTGCAGGTTAAAGCTTGAAACACTCACTGATAAAGATCCTGGAATACCAGACTTATTTGTTAATTATGAGGGGGACCTTGCAGACGTGCATGCTACAGAGACGGTTGTACAGATGGGAAAAAACAGAACAGATGAGAGTGAATCGGATGGATTTCCTCTTACTTCTAGCCAGTGCAGTGGAAATGAGCTACCTTGCAGTCAGCCTCAGCCTATTGCAGCTCAAGCAGTCACGGAGGAAGAGGAATTAAAAATAGAGGAATATGATAGTGACTGAGCACAACAAAATACGGACCACTGACTTACTCGAATAGGTTAATGTGCTGCAGAGGCCTGTTGCTAAAGAGGGCATAGTCTGTACAAGAGTATTCCTCCCAACTACTTATTTGGACTTGGCCTTCTAGCCCACGTATGCTGTGTCAGCATCAAGAAAAGTCTCCTTAGCTTTGCCTTAACTTTGCAGGATAAGCCCTGAACTGAGTACTAAATCACAAACTATTCCCTGCCTGTCCTGAGCCATGAAAGTAATCTGTCTATTGATTAAACAGAGAGAATAATAAATGACAAACTGAAATAGTTTGAAAGAGACTGTAGATAAGCAGTATGACTCTTAAGTTATTTTTTACACATTTTAATTTTTCTTTGTGTATGTACAGTATGTTTCCTGAGAACACATTTATTAAGTTGTCAGCATTTGAAGGTTTTATTAACGTTTATACCTTCAAAAAATTGCTGTTTGCAAGTTTGAACTTTTTGACAGAAGAGATATGTAAAAATGTTTGATATCCAGTACTGATGATGTAAATAAAACTCTTAATGTATTAGTCGTTACTGTTTTGTACTCTACCACAGATATTTTTATATGTGTTTACAAATTGAAGCATGTGTTGTACACTAGCTTATTTCAGATTCCTTTCTGGAAAATATTTTCATAACTTATCAAGGAAAATAGCATTCAAGTAGAAGTCCTTGACCTTTGTATGCTTTTTGAACGTTAATGGTGTAGTGGGTGGCTTTTCTCCTTAAATTGCCGTTGTGCTGGAGGAAAAAATAGTCCTGTGCTTGCTAAATGACACAGGAAATGTTTTGTATTTGTCTGAACAGACTGTTTAATGCTTCAGAGTTTCACTGTAACTGGGTTTGCTCAATGCAAAGCAGTCTAACAAGTCACCAAGGTTAGTGGTAGCGCGGGAATAAGAAGAAAAAGCTTATTTTGAGTATGTGGTGCATGTTTGCATGTCTGTACTTTAATGTGTAACGCGTGGTGGATAAAAGTATGTATTTATCAAGCATAAGCTTGGAATTAATGCTGCTGTTAAAAGGTCTAAATATCACCTCGATGAAAGCTGAGGTGTAGTTTTAAAGACTATGGCGATTGTTTGATTTTTTTTTGAAGAGAGAAAGCTGCATGTTCACTCAGAGAAGGGGCTTCGGGCTGTGGCTGCCCCTGGGCACCCGCCTCGGCAGGGGCCCTTGGCC